ATGAACACGCCACAATTCCAGGAAGCCAAAAATGCAGTAACGTTCACTGTTCAATAATGAATCGTAACATCTGCCAAATCTCAGAAATTCCTTCGTTGGCACTTATACGGGCCTTGAGAAGCAGTGAGGAACCATCGGCGGTGGCACGCAAGGTAGTGCGTAGAATCCCTCCTACGTATTCTGAAGCAATTCTTCAAAATAATCCCCAAAAATGTAAAGTTCCGTGCAAGTTTCAGCTTGCAGAATCAATTCTACAGTGTAAGCCATATATAGAATCTGAAATGCTGACCAACTCGTTAAAAGTGATGAATTCGACAAAATTGGCTCTGACCCAGTTCAGCACCACCCTTGCCCTATGGAAATCCCTTCCTTATGAAAGATCAAACAATGTTTTTTAAATCTTAAGATGGCAATTTGCTTGGGAATTCTCAAGTAATCTCCTTAATGTCCATCTCTCGTGACATTCGGCGGAACGAGTGCGCGAAGTGCCACCAAATTCTGTTGCGCACCATGCTGACATTGCTCGTGGCCGTCTCGGAAACACAGCCTTCCCATCCCTCTTCCACAACGTGCTTCCTTACTCCTTGGAGCGTTTAGTGGATCCATGATTGGTACCCAGGTAAAAACCAAAACGCTGATAATTCTTGCGTGCCGCAAACACTCAAAGTTGAAGTTCAGTGATCTAGAAATAGCGGCAGAATCATTCAGCCATCGTAACAATCATACATATTGGTGGTCAAACAAGATAATTATGAACAGGTCAACACAACTAAACCAAAATGAGCGCAGCAGTAAACAGCATCTTTGAATAGTGGTCCCAATAGTGCGCGGAAGTGCTGTCTCCGTAATTTTGGCGCACCCTGTATTAGATGGGATGATCTCATATATCTGAAAATAGGAAAGGAATTCGAGAAAGTGAGGAAATTTTGTCGAAAATTGTATCGCGGGTGGGTGGTTATAGTAAGAGGAGTTTTAGTAATTGACGTAATGCTACTATTGACTATGTGTAATCCCCTCTCCTTATCATTCTTCACGTCATTATGGTCTTGATTTGAAGTCCAATCGAGTTTTGAGATCAACTCTAATAGGTTATTGGGTGGACGAATTCCGCAATATAATCCAAATGAACTCTATTTCTTCCTTTCAGATATCTAACACGACAAGCTCTGCAGAAGAAAGTGTCTAGGCTCTGTAAACGTATCCTATTCTCAGGCTAACTAGAAATACCGGAATGGTTTCAGTTTTGAATATTTTACTAATAATGAAATGGTAACAGATGCATTAAAGCTCGTGGTCATATGTATTCTTTTTTTGTGATTACTAACGTGTCTGTTACTGGTAATGGGTGCTTTGATTGAAACGGTGTTTTGTTTATCCGCTTGCTTTTAGTTTGAATTCATTAAATCCATATGCATTAATCCATTATAGAGTCTATAACTATCTGCTTATATTGTGTAATATTCTCTTCATTTCAATAATAGGTTCGATTTATGGAAGGTCCAATTCTGATGACTCCGTTTTGTATGATACTGCTTAACTGTGTGACTGTTTTGGTAACATTTTTTGGTTATATTTCTTTTACTCGGTTTACAACACCTGGCCGGGCGTATTTGTTTCCCTACATTGTCTCATGTCTCTCATTTTTATTTTATATGATATTCTTGTTAATAAAGTGATGATTGTACATGGATATGCACTTCCTTAGAAGTGGTATGCATCACTTCATGTGGATAGGACACCGCCTTCCACTTGTTGGTCCGTTGTAACTTCGGAATTAGTGTGTTGCATCATGCCCGTGTAGCGTCTGGCATCAGCATCAGAGGATCTGAAGCGCTCGTCATATCTAGCCTTCCCATCTAGGCCATCATCGCGCGTTCAGTGAGCATAGGCTTGCTATTATATTATAGAAACCCGGTGAGCCTCTTCATACG